GGGAAGGTGTATGTGGCAGCGTTCTGATTGGCTGCCGCTGTGGTGCTATTTGCATATGGTCTCTGATTGGCCAGCTTCAGTAGGCGCCCCTGGTGGAGAAGAGGGTTCATGGCAGAAACGGGGCATGACAGAAGGAAATTTGCATATGGTCTCTGATTGGCCAGCCTCAAGTCCAACATTCCGAGATGACAAAGAGAGGAAAGGAAAGGCCAAAGGGGGCTGGGTCAGAACACTCCCAATACAGACCGAAATAGGCACACAGAGCCCCCATCACCCACTCTACATCCTACTGCAGTTTGGAGGAGCATGAACCATGGATGATGGGACTTGCAGTACCATCACTCACATTCTGAGACCACTGTTAACCTTATCCAATGACTGATCAGGACCAAACTTCGCACATACACCTCTCATACCCACTTTACATCCTGGTGTTGTTTGGAAAACTTTGGAGATGGATGATGGGACTTGCAGTACCTTTGCTCACTTCCTGAGACCACTGAGACCCTCGCCAATGACTAATCAAGACTACACTTGGCACATGGAGCTCCAATGACCCACTCTACATCCTGGTGCAGTTTGGAGGAGGATGAACCATGGATGATGGGACTTCAAGTACCTCCACTCCCTTCCGAAGATTGCTGCAACCCTCTTCTAATGACCAATCAAGACCACACTTGGCACACAGAGCCCCCATGATCCACTCTACATCCTGCTGCAGTTTGAAAGGGGATGGCCCATGGATGATGGGACTTCAAGTACCTTCACTCACTTCCTGAAAATAATGCAGCCGTTATCCAAAGACCAATAAAGACCAAACTTGGCATACAGAACCGCCATTACCCACTTTCTCTAATAACCCGGGCAACGCCGGGTCCCCAAGCTAGTATATAATAAAGAAGAGTGTTTGTATCGGACAGAGGAATTGTGGAGGGCAGTGTATGTGCCAGCGTTCTGATTGGCTGCCGAGGTGGTGCTATTTGCATATGGTCTCTGATTGGCCAGCTTCAATAGGAGCCCCTGGTGGAGAAGAGGGTTCATGGCAGAAACGGGGCATGACAGAAGGAAATTTGCATATGGTCTCTGATTGGCCAGCCTCAAATCCAACATTCCGAGATGAGAAAGAGAGGAAAGGAAAGGCCGGGGGCTGGGTCAGAGCACTCCCAATATAGACGAAACTTGCCACACAGAGCCCCCCATCACCCACTCGACATCCTACTGCAGTTTGGAGGAGTATGAACCATGGATGATGGGACTTGCAGTACCACCACTCACATTCTGAGACCGCTGTTAACCTCATCCAGTGTCTGATCAGGACCAAACTTCGCACAGAGACCTCTCATGACCCACTTTACGTCCTGGTGTGGTTTGGCCGGGGATGGACCGTGGATTATGGGACTTGCAGTACCATTGCTCATTCTTCAGACCACTGCAACCCTCATCCAATTACCAAAAAATACCAAACTTGGCACACTGAGTCTCCATGACGCACTCTACATCCAGGTGCAGTTTGAAGGAGGATGCACCATGGACGATGGGACTTGCAATACCTGCACTCCCTTCCTAAGACCATTATAACTGCCAACAATGATGGATCAGGACCACAATTTACACAGAGCGTCCGCATAACTCACTCTACATCCTGGTGCGGTTTGGAAGAATTTGACAATGGATGATGGGACTTGCAGTCACTTCACTCACTTCCTGAGACCACTGAGACCCACGCCAATGACTCATCAAGACTAAACTTGGCACATGGAGCTTCAATGACCCACTCTACATCCTGGAGCAGTTTGGAGGACGACAGACCATGGATGATAGGACTTCAAGTACCTCCACTACCCAAGACTGCTGCAACCCTCATCTAATGTCCAAACAAAACCAAACTTGGCACACAGAGCCCCCATGACCCACTCTACATCCTAATATGGTTTGAAGTAGGGCATGCCATGGATGATGGGACTTGAAGTACCTCTACTCGCTTTCCGAGACTGCTGCAACCCTCAACAATGACTGAACAACACCACACTTGGCACATCGACCTCTCATGACCCACTTTATGCCCTGGTGAGGTTTGACTGTGGATCGTGCATGGATTTTGGGACTTGCAGTACCTTCGCTCAATTCCTGAGACCACTGCAAAACATCATCCAATTTCCGATAAGGACCAAACTTGGCACACCGGGTCTCCATGATGCACTCTACATCCTGGTACGGTTTGGAGGATGATGCACCATGGACAATGGGACTTAGAGTACCTTCACTCAGTGAAACCACTGAGACCCTCATCCAATGACTGATGAAGACCAAACTTGGCACACAGAGCCCCCATGGCCAACTCAACATTCTGGTGAGGTTTGGGAGAGAACAGACTATGGATGATGGGACTTCAAGTACCTCCACTCACTTCCCAAGACTGGTGCAACCCTCATGTAATGACCAATCAAGACCAAACTTGGCACACAGAGCCCCCATGAGCGACTCTACATCCTGCTGCAGTTTGGAGGAGGACGGACAATGGATGATGGGACTTGCAGTACCTTCACTCACTTCCTGAAACCACAGTGACACTCATCCAAATACCAAGAAAGACCAAACTTGGCACAGAGAGCCCGCCATGGCCAACTCGACATTCTGGTCATGTTTGAGGGAGACTATGGATTATGGGACTTGCAGTACCTTCACCCATGTTCTGAGACTGCTGTGATCCTCATCCAATGACTGATCAAGACCAAACTTAGCACACAGAGCCCCCATGACCCACTTTACGTCCTGCTGCAGTTTGAAAGGGGATGGACTTTGGGTGATGGGACTTGCAGTACCTTCACTCACTTACTGACACCACTGCCACCCTCATCTAATGACTGATAAAGACCAAACTTGGCACACAGAGCCCCATGACCCACTCTATATCCTGCTGCTGTTTGTAGGAGGATGGGCCATGGATGATGGGACTTCAAGTACCTTCACTCACTTCCTGAAAATAATGCAGCCGTTATCCAAAGACCAATAAAGACCAACCTTGGCATACAGAACCACCATTACCCACTTTCTCTAATAACCCGGGCAACGCCGGGTCCCCAAGCTAGTATCCATAAAAACTGGTCAAATGCTTTTAATTACAGGTGGCCTGTTGGCAGTTGCCATTTTGCTCCTTCTTTGTTTTCATGTATAGCACACACAATCGTGGATGGCTCTTTCCGCTTCTGACATTTATAAAGTAGGACCCACGCATCTATGGTGGATAGGTTCCCACACTTTGCATGAATGGCTTAGTGAGGACTCAAACTCTGGTTTTCATAGTCCTAATCCAATGTTCCTATCACTACTCCACACTGGCTCTCAAATACACTACACGTAGTGGTTCTCAACCTGTGGGTCCCCAGATGTTTTGGCCTACAACTCCCAGAAATCCCAGCCAGTTTACCAGCTTGTTAGGATTTCTGGAGTTGAAGGCCAAGACAGCCGGGGACCCGCAGGTTGAGAACCACTGCACTGGAAGCAACTTGCTCAGAAATACTTGGACCAAGTGGGAGCCCTTTAATCAGAGATACTGTCAGGTTTTACAATGTATTGTAATGTAATATAGCTAATATAAAATGCCATATATAAAATGTCAGGTTTTACAATGTATTGTAATGTAATATAGCTGAGTCATGCACTGCTAATGGGCTTCTATTGGAAATGCTGAGTCATGCATTAACTGTATATAGGGAATCATTTGGGGAATGTGTTCTGGCCTAGTCCAGGTGATTGTGAATGATGTAATCCTGGCTCTGAGTTAAGTTAATGAGTTGGGAACCAATCAGAAATTGCTATGTGTAATTGTATAGAATTGTATATAAGGAAGTCATGTACAGTGTATATTCCTCCTTGTGCTGTGATGTTGTTCATCGAAGGCTATATGTAATTAAAAGAACCTGTCTGCTAAGACAAGATATAACTGTATGCTGTGATAAGTTTGTAATGTCATCTAGACTGGGGGAAAGACAATGGTAAAATGGATTTGTGATAACTGTGTAGTGATGATTGTTTATTAGCTATTAATGGAACTGTGGAATTTTAACTGTTTTGTATATTGATTATTGCTGTTTTTATTGTCTTTGCTGTTTGGAAACCGCTGTGAGTCGCCCTCGGGCTTGAGATACAGCGGTATACAAGAATAGTAAATAAATAAATAAATAAATAAATAAATAAATAAATAAAACTGACAATGGCCGGGCATGTTCTCAAGTGTCTGTAAAAGGTTCCAGAGTGACTGCAGTTTTTGGGAGCAGTTGACTGAAAATACTGTGCAGGAAGAAGCTACTGGAAAGCACTGAAGTTGTGCAACTGATCTGCTGCTGAATTGTGAAGTTAATCTCAACAGATAGGCAAACATGGAAGGCCAGAGGGCTGCATTAGAACCCCAGGAGATACTGGAGGGCTTCATGTCTCCACTGCCCCTCTAGAAATGATGGGATTTTCCGCAAGTCTTAGGACCTTCCTGGGTCATTTTAGTCCCACAACAGGGAGGGAGCAGAAGTCATATCCATGTTACTCTGTCCTTGGCCTAAACTCTTGGACATATAGAAGTAAAGGTAAACGTAAAGGTTTCCCCTTGACATGAAGTCCAGTTGTGTCCGACTCTGGGGATTGGTGTTCATCTCAATTTTTGAACCGAAGACCTGGTGTTGTCCCTAGACACCTTCAAGGTCATGTGGCCAGCATGACTGCATGGAATGCCGTTACCTTCCTGCCAGAGCAGTACCTATTGATCTACTCACATTTGCATGTTTTCAAACTGCTAGATCGACAGAAGCCGGGGCTGACAGAGGAAGCTAATGCCGCTCTCCGGATCCAAAACTGCGACCTTTGTCAACAAGCTCAGCAGCTCAGCGCTTTAACCCACTGCGCCACCGGGGGCTCCATATAGAAGTACATCTCTCAACTCATGCACCTCATTCCCACTCCTGCCTCCATCGTTTGGAGTAAAGATGCAACAGGAAAGCAACACTCACCTGAGACTGTTTTGTAGTCCTCTTGATGTTTTTCTGCAGAGAAAGAATTGGGGATTTAAACCCAGAAAAGTACAGCTCCCTCCCTCAGCCTGGCTCACTCTGCACTTGACCACTGGGCCAGATGCCTGTCTTTGGGATCTACATCCAAGGGGTAGTTTGGAAACCATTTATGTTTCCTAGGTTCTTTTCTATGGAGGGGGCTGGATAGCGATGTTCAGTGCTGTTGGCTTCTCCGCTGCTTTGGTAACAGCCTTGGACATATGTCTCAATTCAATCCATCTCAATTCAATGCCCACCTCACCCACGTGCAATGGGTGGGGGGCGGGGGGACACTCACCTGATGCTTTTCTGCATTGACGTATTTCTGCAGAGACAGAATTGGGGAGTTAAAGCTGGCTCTCAAGGATCAACACAATTTCATTCTCTGATAAAGAAGACCCCACACCCTCCTCTTCCTCCTTCCACAGGGATGGAGGCCTGTCAGACTCTCTAGCAAAGACATTAGTGAAATGGGAAACTTTCCCCGACACTACACACTACATAAAACCCCAAAAGAGATTATTTCAAATGAATGAAGAAGACTTTAAAAGAAACCCAAAGAAGGGATGGTCCTCCTGAAACAAGGACTATAAACACCCGGGAACCCTTGTTGTATTCCCAAGACGTATCCTCAAGACATTTTATTATTATCTTGAATATATATGGGACAATACTGGATGTGTTGAAGTTTATCCACACAGTAGGTTCTTCTGGGTTTTTTCGGGCTTTATGGCCATGTTCTAGAGGCATTTCTCCTGACGTTTCCCCTGCATCTATGGCAAGTATCCTCAGAGGTAGTGAGGTCTGTTGGAACTAGGACAAAGGGTTTATATATCTGTGGAATGACCGGGGTGGGGCCAAGAGCTCTTCTCTGCTGAGCTAGGTGTGAATGTTTCAACTGACCACCTTCATTAGCATTTGAAGGCCTGGCTGAGTCTGGGAAAATCTTTTGTTGAGAGGTGTTAAGCTGTGCCTGGTTGTTTCCTCTCTGCTGTTTTGCTGTTGTAATTTTAGAGTTTTTTAATACTGGTAGCCAGATTTTGTTCATTTTCATGGTCTCCTCCTTTCTGTTGAAATTGTCCACATGCTTGTGGATTTCAATGGCTTCTCTGTGTAGTCTGACATGGTGGTTGTTGGAGTGGTCCAGACTACACAGAGACGCCACCACCAAAATAAAAGCTGTTTAAGTTAATGTTTTTAATATGCTTAACTGTTTTTAATGTTTCTATTTCCCACTGGTTTAACTCAAATTCTGTAAAACAATCTGGCTTCCAGCCTCCTATGTGTCTAAGTGACCAAAATGACTGAAGGTCTGGGAGCTACAAACTCCTATAAGGAACAGCAAAAAAACCCTTTTCACAACAGAAAGTCAGCAGAAGTTGTTTCCATTTTACTCCTTCTGTCAAAAAGGAAGCCTCTCCTTGGCCTAACCAGGGGTCCGCAAACCTTTTAAACAGAGGGCCAGATCACAGCCCTCAAACTGTTGGAGGGCTGGATTATAATTTTAAAAAAAACATGAATGAATTCCTATGCACGCTGCACATATCTTATTTTTAGTGCAAAAAACAAACAAACAAACACTTAAAACAATATAATAATTAAAATGAAGAACAAATATAAACTTATTAGTATTTCAGTGGGAAGTGTGGGCCTGCTTTTGGGTGATGAGATAGGATTGTTGTTGTTTTTATGTGCTTTCAAGTCGTTTCAGACTTAGGTTGACCCTGAGCGAGGGCTGAGTAAATGGCCTTGGAGGGCCGTATCCGGCCCCCGGGCCTTAGCTTGAGGACCCCTGGCCTAAACTCTTGAGAGACATAGGAACACATTGCTTGGTTGATCCTTTTATGCCCACTCCTGTCTCATCCATCTGGAGTAAACTTGCAGTAATTCTAATTCTGTTTATTTCTTTACAACCCACTTTTATCTCTTGATTGAGATGATAATAATAATAATAATAATAATAATAATAATAATAATAAAACAATAATAAACAGAATCGGCACTGACAAGAGTACCATCTGCCAGCTGCAGAAGGCCACCTTACTGGGATCTGCACTCATTATTTGCCGATACATCACATGGTCCTAGAATCTTGGGAAGTGTCCGACGTGTGATCCAATACAACAGCCAGCAGAGTGTCTGCTGTGGACTCATCTTGTTGTGTTTCAAATAATAATAATAATAATAATCATCATCATCATCATCATCATCTTTATTTATACCCCACCACCATCTCCCCAAAGGGGACTTGGGGTGGCTAACATGAGGCCAAGCCCAAAGATACAATAGAGCACAATAAAATACAGAATGCAAACAACAAAAATTATATCAGAATAAAATATGTACAGTAGCATAATAAAATAAATAAGGAAAATCAACACAATATAAAATCGAACAGAATGGGCAGGCCAAATGGACGAGGTAAAATGATAAAACCTTGATGAGGTAGCAATAGAAAATATGTAATTGAGGGGAGCCCAAAAATGATAAACAGTGGGGTAAGAATTTCAGTTTAGGATGGGGCAACACTATAGATGGAGCAATCAGAAATGGGATAAATGGTTGCTCATGGTTTCCATGAGATGCTCATGGGAAGGTAACACTCACCTGCAGCTGCTTTGTATCCATATTGAAGCTTTTCTGTAGAGACAGAATCAGGGAGTTAAAGCTCAGAGTGTCATTCTCTGATGAAGAAGACCACACACCCTCCTCCTCATCCTTCCACAAGGTGTCCCCCATTTTTTCCTAGCCACCCATAGGGACAGAAGCCGCCCAGACTCTCTAGGAAAGACATTAGCAGAGATGGGAAAGTGCCCCCAGGCTGAGACTCAAGCTCATGATGTGGCTGAGAGAAGGTGAAAAGAGTAGCCAAGCCTCCAAGTTGTTGGTTAAGCCGAGCCTTCCCCTCAAGGGGAGTAGGGTCTCAAACAGGAAAAATGTCTTCCCCAAAACCAGACTGCCCCTCCCACAAAGAAATTCATTCAGAATTTACTCACTGAAACTGACAGCAATCCCAGCCATCAGAGCGATCAGGAGGAGAACCCCCAGGACACCCCCGATGATGAGCCACAAGTCGGAGGCTGAAGTTGAAATGGAAAAAAACAAAAGAATTAAAAGGAAATCAGCAAACCAAAGCCTTTATGGAGCGGGTTGTAGATAGTCAAAGAACTGGGGAGTTCATGGAGACCAAGGCTGAGGTTAAGATCTGAGGCGGCCTTGCTCTGGTCCTGTCTCCATCACAAGTGTTGGTGGGGACGAGAGACAGGGCCTTCTTAGTGGTGGCTCCCTAGCTCTAGAACTCCCTCCTCAATAAGATTGGATCAGCACCCTCCCTCCTGGCCTTCAGAAAGAAAACAAAGACATGGTTATGGAACCAACCCTTTGACCAATAAAGTAATGCAGTGAAAAAGAATAATTAGGGGATGCATGCAATGACAATGGGAATGGCTACCGTTTATGGTTTTGGATCATGTAATTTTAATATTTATACTAGGATGTTTTCAGGCCTGTAGCGGGGGGGGGGGGGTAGGGGTTCAACCCCCCCCCCAATGTTTCAGATTTTTTTTAAAAAAAACTGGTTTACTCATGAATTTTAACTGGTTAACCAAATCCCATGCTAAGTCTATGAGATGCAAAAAATTAAGAGTCCCTCCAGAACTGCAAGCACTATCTCAAGCAAATATTGACAATTTATTCACACTGTCATTACTTGCAGCAATAGCCGATGTAGTGAAGCAACCAAGTTGGGGGTGGAGTGTTGAATGCTCTCATTAAGGAGGCCAGACTTGGTGGAGGTGGTTGACAGGGGCGGAGCTGCAGGCTATTGAAGGCTGCTCTGCCCCCTGCTGTGCTCTTTGCTTCAGCGTGAGCTAGGAGGCAGGTTTCACCCCCCCATGAAATTTTCAAACCCCCCCTCCCGAAAATTTCAACCCCTCCCGAAAAACTTTTCTGGCTACGGCCCTGGATGTTTTAATGCTTTGTCCTAATGTTTAAATGTTATTTATGTTATATGTTTAATGGTTTTAATAATTTAAATTCATAGTCCTATTCGTTATATGTTATTGTTTAGTTATGATTTCTTTACATGGATGTTGGCATTGAATTTTTGGCATTAATATGTTGTAAACCACTTTGAAGATCCCCCGGTGGCACAGTGGGTTAAACCCCTGTGCCGGCAGGACTGAAGACTCACAGGTCGCAGGTTTGAATCCGGAGAGAGGCGGATGAGCTCCCTCTATCAGCTCCAGCTCCTCATGCGGGGACATTAGAGAAGCCTCCCACAAGGATGATAAAACATCAAAATCATCCGGGCGTCCCCTGGGCAACGTCCTTGCAGACGGCCAATTTTCTCACACCAGAAGCAACTTTGTTTCTCGAGTCGCTCCTGATACAAAAAAAATAATACTTTGAATCCCCCCAGGTGTGAAAAAGGTGGTATATAAATATAGTAAGTAAGTAAAACACGTGTGTTTGTGTACATTCAATGACCAGCCCAGCTCTTGTGACTATCTGTCAAGGTTTGTGGAAGTGGCCATGATAGAAGGGCAGTCAAGCACAGCTCCGTCATCACACCCTCCATGTCCCAACTAGCATTGATCTACTCCAGTGGTTCTCAACCTGTGGGTCCCCAGATGTTTTGGCCTTTAACTCCCAGAAATCCTAACAGCTGGTAAACTGGGATTTCTGGGAGTTGTAGGTCAAAACACCTGGGGACCCACCTTCAAGATGGGACCCAAGTTCAAATCAAAACTTCATTTTTGTTTCAGATACATTTTATGCACATTTCATTTTATTCCAAAAACGAAGTTTGTGTACACTGCACCATCAGAAAGCAATATAGCTTTTGGTATCCCTTATCAGGAATTAGGAAAGACTCTAAAACTGTCCATGTGGGTGGCTGAGATAACAACATCTTAGTTTTCTGGTGGTAAAGCAAGAGTGTCCCTATCTCAGCCAAGAACACAAACAATTTTAGACTGGGCTCTACAGGCCAATGGAGACTCCACCTAGGACATCAGAAGGCCGAGAACAAGCCACGAGAGTCAAGACGAAGACCCACCCAGAGGAAAAGTGTTCTTGCCATACATCAAGGGAACCACTGACCACATAGGGAAGCTGATGAGGAAACACAACATACAAACACTATCTACAGACCCACCAAGAAAATCCAACAAATGCTACGTTCAGCAAAGGACAAGAGGTATCCTCTCACCTCTGCAGGAGTTACCCAAAAAAACCCACAAGAACGCAAAGAACAAGAGGGATCCTCTCACCTCTGCAGGAGTCTACCGTCTACCATGCAGCTGTGGACAAGTCTACATAGGGACCACCAAACGCAGCGCCCAGACACGCATCAAGGAACATGAAAGGCACTGCAGACTACTTCAACCAGAGAAGTCAGCCATAGCAGAGCACCTGATGAACCAGCCTGGACACAGCATATTATTTGAGAACACAGAAATGCTGGACCACTCTCACAACCACCATGTCAGACTACACAGAGAAGCCATTGAAATCCACAAGCATGTGGACAATTTCAACAGAAAGGAGGAAACCATGAAAATGAACAAAATCTGGCTACCAGTATTAAAAAACTCTAACATTACAACAGCACAACAACAGAGAGCAAACAAACAAGGGCATCTAATCACCTCTCAATGAAAGATTGCCCCAGGAACTGCCAGGTCATCAAATGCTAATCAAGGTGGTCAGTTGAAACATTCACACCTAGCTCCAACAGACAAGAGTTCTTTGTCCCACCCTGGTCATTCCACAGATATATAAACCCTTTTTTTCCTAGTTCCAACAGACCTCACTACCTCTGAGGATGCTTGCCATAGATGCAGGCGAAACGTCAGGAGAGAATGCCTCTAGAACACGGCCATATAGCCCGAAAAAACCTACAACCCAGTGATTCCGGCCATGAAAGCCTTCGAGAATACAATTTTAGAGTCTTTGATATTTGCAGATAAGGGATAGGTAAAGGTAAAGGTTGTTCCCTGACATTAAGTCCAGTCATGTCTGACTCTGGGGTGTGGTGCTCATCTCCGTTTCTAAGCCAAAGAGCTGGCGTTGTCCATAGACACCTCCAAGGTCATGCGGCCGGCATGACTGCATGGAGCGCTGTTACCTTCCCACCAGTGCGGTACCTATTGCTCTACTCACATTTGCATGTTTTCGAACTGCTAGGTTGGCAGAAGCTAGGGCTGAAAGCAGAAGCTCACACCACTCCCCGGAATCAAACCTGCGACCTTTCGGTCAACAAGCTCAGCACTTTAACACACTACGCCACCGGGGGCTCCTGCAGATAAGGGATACTTGTCCTGAATTGGTATGGAAACTATACAACGGTAATGCTGATGACTAAGCCTGTGGTGCTATTGATGGTGTCTCTGTGGGTTGGCCCTCCTCTTGCCCCTCCCAGGACCCACCCTCCCTTCTCAAATGACTCACCAGGCTCCTCCCAAGCCACGTCCACAGGATTCAGAAGCCCATCGTGCTCCACGTGGCATTTGTAGCGTCCTCTCTCCTTGGGGTCCACCGTGACGCTCCACCAGGTGTAGTAAGTCCCATCAGAGTTGGGGGACACCAGGCCATGGTAGGTATCTTGCAGCCAGACTTCTCCATCCCTTGTCCAATAGATGTCAATCTCCCTGGGGTAGAAGCCCCGCACATAGCAGATCAAAGCCTCCATGCCATCATAGGTCACCCTGCGTGTCACCATCACTTCTGGCACCATCACTTCTGGCAAGAATGACATCAGAATTAGGATAGGACCTTTCCAAAAGACAGGTAGGGTGAATGCGCTTGTTTGGGCTTCCTGGGGAAGGGATCCTATCTTCAGCTCTCTCCAACTGCGTGGCCTGTCCCTCCCAAACGAAGCTTGACCACATTTATCAGTTGGAAGGCCTTTTAAAAGTCATTGTCTTAATCTCCTTGCCAAGATTTTAATAACCGCCCCCACATTTACCTGTCTCCAGAAGCGTCTCTTTTCCATAGCCCAGGTACTTCTGCAGCCACTCAATGCAGGTCTCCTCCAGGTAGGCCTTCTTGTTCTGGTTTTCTACTAATTCAGTGTCCCTCATCCTCTTGGTGTTCTGGGCTGGGACATCAGCTGCCGTCCAGGTGAGGGTCTCCTTGTCAAAGCTGATGTAGTCATTCCCATCGTAGGCATACTGGTAATGCCCTCCTTTGCTCCCGTCTCTCCTCAGCTCACAGCCGTACATCAACTGAAAAGTGTGAAGTCCTGAAACAGAGACACAGAAAGCAGGGGATGAGGGAGAGAACAGCCAGAACATTCCCCCCACCTCCAAATAGATCAGCTCAGTAAGAGAAGCCCGGGAAGGATTTTACATCAGGATCTACAGTAATTCTAAAATTATGGGAATCCTCCTCCCCCGTTTCCTTGGATTACCCTCCTGTCATTCCCATGGAAAATGACAAATTTCCCATGATCCCTGCTTGCATAAGTGGGATCCTGCTGCTCTTAGGTTAATTAAATATAATAAATAAAATTATCCTATGGATATTTACACATGAGCAAGACCCAAGACTAAATTCAATGGGGCTTATTTTGAACAAAGTGAATATTTTCAAATTAGTTGAAGATGCTAATGCAAATGGTCTAAATGGCAAAACTTAAATAAATTACACACAATGTTGAGTCTTGCAGAAGATTGTCTCTCTTTTAATGAACACATCTTAATTATTGGCCCTACACCACTGGAGAAATTACAGTGTTTAGTCAGTATTGCACCACCTGACATCCACCGGGAAGTAGCAGCCAATAGTGAAAGGACCAAGGCAGAGACATCTCCAGCTCATCCCCTGTTTGGGTATCAGCTGGTACGTTAATGACTTAAATCAAGAAATAGTTTTCTAAGATCTACAGAGACACTCGCTGGAACACATCAGCAGGCGAGAGTCCAAAAGTGGCAGGTTCAAACCCAGCACCTGAATCCATGGCTGATATCAAATGAGAGACTCCCCCCTGGGCAACCAGAAAACTGGGAGACTTGGAAGGCGCTGAACAGACTGCGCTCTGGCACCACGGGGTGCAGAGCCAACCTGCCGGAAGAGATCCAACATTTGAATGAAATCTCAATACTTTAAACACATTTAAAGTATCTGCCCCAGATACTGTTGAAATTGGCCATATCTTTTTTCTAGTAATTACCCAGGTCACTTTCATCTATTAGGCCCTGGAAATGTACAGCCATAGAAAAAAGGCCCACCCAGCCAAGTTTAATCATAACACTAAAACTCGCATCTTGTGTTTTTAAATCTTTGTTCTGTGTATTTTAATGTATGTATTTATAGAAATATATTTTAATATATGTATTTTATGTAATAGGTTCTTGTGGGTTTTTTCGGGCTATATGGCCATGTTCTAGAGGCATTTCTCCTGACGTTTCGCCTGCATCTATGGCAAGCATCCTCAGAGGATGCTTGCCTCTGAGGATGCTTGCCATAGATGCAGGCGAAACGTCAGAAAAATGCCTCTAGAACATGGCCATATAGCCCGAAAAAAACCCACAAGAACCTAGTGATTCCAGCCATGAAAGCCTGCGACAATACATTTTATGTAATGTTTATGATGACTATGTGTTTCAGCTAAGTTGTAATGCACTTCAAGCCATGAGAAGAGGTGGGTAAGAAATAACAATAATAACAATAATAATAATAATAATAAAGTGTTCCCTCACTACTTAGGGGTTCACTTTTCACGGACTCGCTGTTTCATGGGTTATTGCCTCCCAATTTATGAATGGTTGCCATTGCCCAGAGCGGCGTTCTAATCCCGCCTCCTGGGAACGATGGAGTGTGGAAGGGGATTTCATCCTCCCCCTTGGGAGAGAGGCAGCCAATCAAGAGAGACTGCAAAGCAAAGCAGAGATAGCTAGCTAGAGCCCCTACTTTGCAGATTTTCACTATTTGCGGGTGGTCGCAACACTCAGGATAAGTGAGGGAACACTGTAATGCTTTCCATTGGCTATTTCTCTGAAAAAGAAATATCTGTCGCCACCTACCTCCGCTCTGATTGTAGTACTTAGCCAGAATCACCAGGTCATTTTTGAATCTCTGCTCATGGCCCTGAGCATACTCGGTGTTTCGCTCCCAGTACTTAGGATCATACTTCTCCACCTCTCTTATCCAGGGCACCTTCGCAAGATACCTCTTGGTGCTGGCATCATAGGAAACAAACTCCTGGTCATCCACATACCCCACATAGGAAAACGGAGGCACCAGCGGCCCAGGCTCTGAGACAGAGGTGAGGAAATAGCGCAGGGAATGGGAGGAAGAGCCTGGAAAAAACAGAGAAAAGGCAGAAGGTAGGCATTATTGACTTTGTATTGTCGAAGACTTTCATGGCTGGAATCACTGGGTTGTTGTACGTTTTCTCGGGCTGTATGGCCATGCTCTAGAGGCATGTTCTAGAGGCCATGTTCTAGAGGCATTTCGGGCTGTATGGCCATGTTCTAGAATGCCTCTAGAACATGGCCATACAGCCTGAAAAAACCTACAACCCATTATTGACTTTGTTTTTTTATTCCACCTTTCAACTGCTATTGGGATTCAAGTTGGCTTAACTTGAAGTTATGATAATGTCCAGCTGAAGACAAGCACATCTACAGTTAATTTCTCCATTACTTTCCTTTAAATATACCTGAAATAATAAACAATCCTTGCAATGACTACATTTTTTTTGCCATTTTATATCATCACTAGTTGTACCCGCCACGCATTGCCGTGGCCAACCTTCCCTCCCTCTATCTCTCCTCTTTTCTTTCTCTTCCTCCTTCCTTCCCTCCCTCTCCTTCCTTCCTTCCTCTTCCCTTCCTTTGCCCCCTTTTTCCTTCCCCTTTTTCTCCTCTCTACCTATTCTTTGACTCCATTCCCACCTGTCCTCTATCTATCTATCTATCTATCTATCTATCTATCTATCTATCTATCTTCTATCTATCTATCTATCTATCTATCTATCTATCTATCTATCCATCCATCCATTGGATGCCTCTCCTCCATCCATCCATCCATCCATCCCTATCTATCTATCTATCTATCTATCTCTATCTATCTATCTATCTATCTATCTATCTATCTATCTATCTATCTATCTATCCTATCTATCCTATCTATCTATCTATCTATCTATCTATCTATCTATCTGGGGGATTTTTGGGAGTTGAGGTCCACGAATAGGGAATTGGAAATATGCAGGGATTGGGATGATCTCAAAGAAATCCAAGGAGAAGAAAGCTTGCAGCTTGAAAGCAGTGCAATTGGATTCCTCTCCTCTTCTAAAGGGCCAGGTCTAGGGGATGCTGGCAGATATAGTGTGAAAGAGTGTGGATATGCTATTGTGCATTTTATTTGCCAGGGGGAGTTGTTTTTGCACATGTGCTGTAGCATCTTTTTGCTTTTTTTTTGGCTTTTTAAGTCCCTTCTGTTGTGTTTTTTTATGCTTTTATGAGTGATGGTCATTTGTTGGTCTGATAGGTGTACTGTGTCCAAATTTCATGTCAATTTGTCCAGTGGTTTTTGAGTTATCTAAATCCCACAAACGAACATTAAATTTTATTTATATTTATAATTTATTTATTTATTTATAATTTGAACTTCTATGCCGCCACTCCCCTGGGGCTCGGAGCGGCTTACAAGAACAAGCTAAAATCTAACACAATTTAAAAACAATTTAAAACAATTTAAAAACAGCAATATGAGAGATCAAAGGCCCGTCGAAACAGATACGTCTTCCATGCCCTGTGGAAAGCTGATAAGTCCTGCAGGGCACGGACTTCAGGTGGCAGAGTATTCCAGAGTGATGGTGCCACTGCTGTGAAGGCTCTGCGTCTAGTTGCTGTTAGACGCAAGGTCTTGACACTGGGAATTTCCAATAGATCTTGGTCCTCAGACCACAGGGATCTCTGGGGTTGGTAGGGGATGAGGCGGTCCCTCCGGTACATCGGCCCCAGACCATGCAAGGCCTTAAAGGTGAGTACCATCCCTTTGAAAGTGATCCGGTGCTCAATTGGTAACCAATGCAGCTGTAGTAAGATTGGTGTTATGTGGCATCTCATTGGAATTCCCGCAAGAAGCCGAGCAACTGCGTTTTGTACCAGCTTGAGCTTCCGGATCACCGACAGAGGAAGGCCAATGTAGAGGGCGTTACAGTAGTCCAGTCTTGAGATGACCGTGGCCTGGATCACCGTAGCTAGGTCGTCCCTGGACAGGGAGGGGGCCAGCCGTCTAGCCTGCCGCAGATGAAAGAAGGCGGTTCTGCTAGCGGTGGAGACCTGGGCCTCCATCGTCAGCAGAGGGTCCAAAAGGACTCCCAGACTCTTTACCAATAATGACGGGCGTAGCTAATTTTTTATCACTGGCTAATTTTTTACTAAAAAATGTGATTCCAATAAACTGCAAAAATTCGACTCCACTGTACAATTATGAGTAATTTCATAGAAAACGTCTTGGAAAGATCTGTAAGTCCTGTAAGACCAATCCCCTGCCATGCAGGGATACAGATTCACATCTCTCTCAAAAGCTGACCAACCAATCTCTCTAAAAATTACCAGAAGAGAGGCCATCACCCAACAGGCTGTCTATTCCACAGTTAAAACTGCTCTTACAGTCACAGAGTGCTTCCTAAGGTTTACGGGGAGTCTCTTTTCTTGTCATTTGAATACATCCATTTCATAGGCAATCGCACGTGGGTGAGAATTATTGTCTTCCAAAGGAAAGGTCTTGGAGATGGGTTAGATACGACTGAATCCATATCCACCACCCTTGGCCGGTCTGTAGCAAAGGGGTTTCAGACTTCACTCCCTTATTGTCATGGGCCTTTTGTTGGTTTTGGTTTGCTTGGAAGATGCGTAAGTGGGGATTGGTCATGAACACAGAAAGAGGTTCTAGTCGAATGACTGGTGGCCTCTTTGTCCATTGTCACAGCTATTGTAACATGCACCTGTTCTGCCGTTGAGGACTTCCTTGGATTGTTCTAACTAATACGCGATGTGGTTGAGCCTTGTTGGCTGCTTCCCTCCCGCTCAATGCCCAGCATAGTAGGGGAAAGCAATCCTGCTCCATCTTTTCTGCGACAAGTCTTCAGATGTTTAAAGACAGCTATCATACCACCTTTCAGTCTTCTCTTTTCCCAGCTAAACCTCAGCCCTGAGTCATTCCTCATAAAGCCTGGGGCAAATCGAAGTAAGCCCAATCTGGCAGATTGCGGGATCATTTGGGACTCCCTTAGTGGCCAAGAGACCTGACTGCTCAGCGGCACAAAACATAGTTTAGCATGGCTACCCTATGAGGCCTTCCCTCCAACTGTGTCATAGCATGTTGTCAGCTAAGAAACCCCCACCTGCCTTCTCTGAGTAACATTAACTAGAGTAGCGCCTACTACAGAGGTTTGTGGGAAGCCCCCTCCTCCACAGTTAGCAGGCAGTCTGACTAATAGCACCCATGGAGAAGGTGGTGGAATGACTCAGTTGGTGACACCCCCGCAGAAAGGGGGCAGGGGTGACAAAGGATTACCATCGTATGTCCCCTGGTTGTCTGAGAAAACGAAACGGCAATCAGCTATTCCTGTTATGATCTGGCCCAAATGTATGGACTTCCCCTAACTCGGGGGAGAACTTGTGTTTTCCCGTGGGTTAATGTAACCCAGGGTGAGGCCACATTAAGGCAGACTTTGTTGCACAGCAATTGGATTCTAGCCAACTTCCCATGGAAAAGACACACACAGGCAAGAGGAAAAATGAACAGAAAAACTTTACTCTTATTAGCAGAGATAAAACATAAACTTGCAGTGTTGCATGCAAAAATCAAACATTGCAACAAACTTACATAGTCGGAAGTAACACAGAATAAGGCATCTTCATCTTCAATCAAATGAGAAAGCAAAACATAAACCTTGAGTAAATAGCTATTTCCCCATAGCCTCCTTCAGAGTAGCTTCTCCATAGTGCTCCCCAGAGCAAAGCCTTTGAGCACAGAGCTCCTCATAGAATCAGAGTTGGAAGAGACCTCCTGGGCCATCCAGTCCAACCCTATTCTGCCAAGAAGCAGGAATATTGCATTCAAATCACCCCTGACAGATGGCCATATGGCCATCCAGCCTCTGTTTAAAAGCTTCCAAAGAAGGAGCCTCCACCACACTCTGGGGCAGAGAGTTCCACTGCTGAACGGCGCTCACAGTCAGGAAGTTCTTCCTAATGTTCAGATGGAACCTCCTCTTGTAGTTTGAAGCCATTGTTCCGCGTCCTAGTCTCCAGGGAAGCAGAAAACAAGCTTGCTCCCTCCTCCCTGTGGCTTCCTCTCACATATTTATACATGGCTATCATATCTCCTCTCAGCCTTCTCTTCTTCAGGCTAAACATGTCCAGCTCCTTAAGCCGCTCCTCATAGGGCTTGTTCTCCAGACCCTTGATCATTTTAGTCACCCTCCTCTGGACACATTCCAGCTTGTCAATATCTCTCTTGAATTGGGGTGCCCAGAATTGGACACAATATTCCAGGTGTGGTCTAACCAAAGTGGAATAGAGCATGGGGAACATGACTTCCCTAGATCTAGACACTATGCTCCTATTGATGCAGGCATTGTCCCCCATTCTGTATCTTTGCATTTCGTTTTTTCTGCCAAAGTGGAGTATCTTGCATTTGTCCCTGTTGAACTTCATTTTGTTAGTTTTGGCCCATCTCTCTAATCTGTCAAGATCGTTTTGAATCCTGCTCCTGTCCTCTGGAGTCTTGGATCTCCCTCCCAATTTGGTGTCGTCTGCAAACTTGATGATCATGCCTTCTAGCCCTTCATCTGAGTCATTAACAAAGATGTTGAACAGGACCGGGCCCATGACGGAACCCTGCTGATGGCACTCCGCTCGTCACTTCTTTCCAGGATGAAGAGGAAGCATTGGTGAGCACCCTCTGGGTTCGTCCATTTAACCAATTACAGATCCACCTCACCGTAGTTTTGCCTAGCCCACATTGGACTAGTTTCCTTGCCAGAAGGTCATGGGGGACCTTGTCGAAGGCCTTACTGAAATCCAGGTACGCTACATCCACAGCATTCCCCGCATCTACCCAGCTTGTAACTCTATCGAAAAAAGAGATCAGATTAGTCTGGCATGACAGTTCAGAGCAAAAGCTGAACTGTATTCTAAAACCATACAGTTATACCCCACCGGGTGTGTATACTGCACTGCACATTCAGAGACCAGACTTGGATTTTGGAAAAGGGGAGCACCAGAGATCACCACAGGTGCCTCAAACCACCTCCAGGATGATGAGTGGGAAGGCCATG